TTAGAGTACAGACAGAAATAAAAGTGGAGCGTTTGGAGGATGGAGGAGCTGCTAAAGTGCTGCTGCAGGTGGAGCTGCGTTACTCTCCTTTACATCCAGTTTATATTCAGAAATCTGAGTCTCCAAGCAGGATTCATGGGAGAAGAAAGAACAAACTGGTTCTCAGTTTGTCTACAATCTTTGATTTCTGTGCAGATGTTTGACCATTGAAACATTTACAACAATTAGTAAAAAGTTGAGAGGAAAAATATATCAAATATCCAAAAAAAAAACTAATAATAAAAATAAAGAAATGATCAAAACACATAACAAAAAATAATGAAAAATATCAATGAATATCAGCAGATGGTATAATAAAATTATAGAGTCTAATTTTAATAGTAGAAGCTAAACTTTAAACAGAAAGTCTGAATCTATGCAGCCTAAACCAGTGCACTTACACAACAATGTCAGTGTTTGTGCCTGTTAGTGTTCCTTTAAATGAAAGTATTTATCACAGCTTACAGTCAACCTTCAACTCGGTGTTAAATGTCCAAGTCTTGCCCTCTGACCATTATTCACTGCTCGGCCTTCCTGGCTCCGACTGAATATAGCAGGAGTCCTGCTGCACCATAATTGGCCCTGATGGTTGAAGTGCAGCAGGCGGGGGCAGCTAAGCCGAGCATCAGTGCACACGTGTGACGATTAGCTCCTGATGGACGTCCTGCTGTCACCGTGATCCGACCTGCATCCAGAGAGCGACACGACAGCTTCTCAGGAATCATTTCACTGTTTAATCTGCAGCAGGTGGAGGAGCTGCTGATTTATCCTCCTGTGGCTCAGACTTTTAATTAAAGGATAAATCATCTCTGGTTCTGCATGACACCTGATCAGAGCTGAGTCACCGAGAGGAGGAAACCCTCAGTCTGCTGACTCACTCATTCATCCCTCACTGGGGGGGTCTTTCTGTTGTCCTGCTCTGAGTCAGGATCAGTCCGTCCACCTCGACTCAGCTCCGCCCTCCATGACCCACCAAGCGCCTTACTGAGCACAGATGGTGCATGAAGCCACTGTGGGAGTGGGAGCTGTGACTCAGCACTCTGTGGGAGGGGGTCACGCTGCCTGTGAGAACCCCCCATGTTTACTGTGTTAGCTGCTTTCCGTGGGAAACTCTGACCTGACCCGGCCCACAGTTAACCAGTGTTTAAACCAGCTTCACTTTTCAGATGACAGAGTTATCCA